AAGGTAACGAAAAAACTTTTCTAAACATTTTGAAAGCTTGTGGACTGCGATACATGATTCTTAAAGGTAAAATTTTATCTTCAATAGTCCAACTTTTTCCATATTTGACACGATTGTTCATACGTAATTAACTTTCAAAAAATTGATGTTGAGTATTTGTTAAATATTTTTTAGACAAACTAATAATATGTTCTATTGAACCACTGCATTTTTTGAACATATCATGCTTTATCTTCAGGTTTTTAAGTTTTTTTTAAGTCGACAAATCTTAACTTGAGATGATAAATATTTATTTTTAAAAGTAGTTTTGACAGTTACATTATTTGTACTGCTATTCTCAACACTGTTTATTTTATTAAATGGACTTTATCGTTGATTTCTTTTTTTGTATTTTATCTTGTAAATGAAGTCTGCTTGTAGGCTGTTTTCTATTTAAATTTAAGGTAGAAGGTTGATTTTAAAAGTTAAAAATTGTTGGTACAGCAATTAAATGTGCTCTTTTACTACCATTATTGGCAAGATAGTATTAGAAAGAATCAAAATGTTCACTACAAATAGTATAGTTAAGATTAAGTTCTTCACATGATTTTGTATCGAGATCTTGACGACGACAATTACAAACCCGAAACTTGCATCTAAATAATTGGTTAAACCTAATTAATTTAGTGGAATTATTTACATCATATTATGTATAAATATTTTTTGTTTCATAAAACTTAAAGTAAAACAATTTTTTAAAAGTTTCTTTAAATTTTTGATATACTAGTTATTCATTAAAATTGATTTGACTAATAATTACTTACCTATTTTTATCTTTTGGAAATCTAAAACACGATATATTATTTCCAACATTCTTTTCACGTTTGTTTACACAACTGATGGCTGAGCAAAAAGCTGGCATCTTTAATATTGTATTTATAGAAAAAGCAACTTAATTTTTGAAAAGCGAAATCTAATAATATTATAATATATAATATATTTAGCAGAAAACAAAGATGTATAATAAATTTATGTTGTCTATAATATGGTCCCGCAAGACATCCCATAATTCAATGTATGGGCAATTACACATAAATATATGGATTTTTAGTCGAGTTGGCAGATTTGATCAAAATATCAATATGGTATTTTAAACAAAAAGATTTTTTGGATGCCCTTTATGCATCTAAAAATCAAGATTTGTCTACTCTTTTAATCTATCTTCAGTTGCCAGAATTGTCGGATAAGATCTACATGATATTGTCGGATATTTATCGGATTAGATCTATATAAATGAAATGCCTACTTTAGCATAAATTGATCGACCTTTTTTGAAAATCAAATTCAGAAGAAGGAATTGATCTTATATTGATTTCAAAAACTGTTTTTTCTGCTATATCAACAGTTATCAAAGCTCCTGATTTCTAATCTTATATTTCGTTTATGAGAGAATGATTCATTGTGGTAGACTAAGACTGATTATTCGATGCTGATTAATTAAGTTACGTAAGTTACAAGAAAATTATATTTGAAATGGTTCGCTTTAATTTTATTTATATTATAAAACATTTTTTACATGATAAATTTTGAAATCTATGTAAATACTATTTAGATAATAACGAAGTTAACATTTGAAGTTTTTCAGCATTTTAAAGGTTTTGCTTCAAAACTTTTTATCCTTTAAAAGACAGTTGTTGCGCTAATTAATTGAAAACTAAAATATGAAGAAATTCCAGAAACCTTCTTGTAATTTAAATTGTATTTAAATTAAATTCTAAAAACATCAATGAAAACAGAAATTGATGAGCCTGATAACTATTAAGGTTTCTGTTAGAAATTGTTGAAGTTTCCCTTTTATTATCACTAAGTACACAAAGTTGATAAGCTGTCAACTTTGTGTACTCATAATGAAAAGGAAATTTCAACACTTTTTTTTTAAGCCAATATAAATAGCCTGTTATTAGTTAAAACTTCTAATACACATTTTCTGCTCTTTTCTCCTAGTTTTAGACTAATCAAACAGTTTGAAAACAAACTATAAAATAAGGAACCGTTTGTAATTGAACTATACTGTAATAATAGTAAACCAGCCGATACCCAGCAAATATGATTTTATTAGATTTGCAGTGGACCTATATAGACATTTTTTAGCGGGTCATTGGAGTTTTGCTTATTGGTTACTGATTGGAAAATTAGTGGCAGCCACTATAAATGACCAGGCGATAATGTATAAAAGTATAAAAGATGAGCAGAAATCAACACGATCTGCTTTAACTCTAAATAGTAGTTTTATTCAAAAGCGTGAAGATTTAAGAGTTTGGATTAAGGGTTGGAATTTTTCTGATGTTCGCAGCTAAAAAAGTATATCCAGTTATTGGGGTTTAGATGTCACTATTTTTAATATTCTTTGTCTTGCAAACGAGTTGCTTCATGAGGATTTTTTTATATGTTTGCACAGCTCAATTTAGTCAGGACTGTTTAGAAATTTTTTTTGCATTAATACGAAGCAAAGGTAGCTGGAATGACAGGCCAATAGCAATGTAGTTTAAATCAGCATATAAAAATGTCTTAGTACTCCGTTCAATATAACAATCTAACTCTAACAGTAATTGTCTCCCTGAATCAGATTTCTCAGTTGCAGTTACCATTGACTCATTCACCAATATAGTATTTGAATTTGCAGAAAGTTCATTTGCAGAAATTTGAGAATCAAATTTCTGCAAATGAACAATTGATTTTCAAACATCCAACTGCATTATTTAAAAAGAAACAAAAACCTTACGCATTACAAACTGTTTCAGCTGATTCAGTTTCACAGTCAATCAAACAGGTTTTGAAATTAATTGCAGGTGATTTGATAAAGAAAGTTCAAGTCTGTCAAAAATGTGTACAAGTTCTTTCAAGTGGGACACCCTGTGAATATAACTTATTTAATTCTGATTCTTTTTTACAAAACATACTTCACAAAATGGAAACTGTTTTTATAACCCAAATGAAACTTATAATAACTAAAAAAATATTATACAACAAATTATTAAAGTAATAAAAAACGATTGCAATTTTACATTTCTCTATGATGAACATATTGATCATACTTTTCATTTAGAAGAGAGTTTAATCAGACACAATGTTTATATGAGAATATCTTATTATATAAGGTTTTATAATAATGATCTGGCACCACGAAACAAGGCATGTAAAAACAAGTTAGCTCGCATTTTCCATGCTTGATTTTATTTTAATGATAATTCTTGAAACAATATACTTTTTAATTCTTATTGTTGTTTTTTCTCTCAGTATTATTAACTATATAATTAGCATCTAATTAAGGGGTATATATTTAAACTAATATGGAGTATATATTTAAAGTAATATGAAACGAATACAGAGATAACATGATTAAAATGACTTATGCAAAACATGCTTAATTTACATCAAATTTACAACTGCGTCAACATATTAATGTTAGATGATATATAAATACTATACAAGCAATGTTATAAAATAATTTTAAAATTATTTTAATTTATAAATAAAAAGTTTTTTAATGGGAAGCCTCCTGGTAAGAATAAGGCAAAGGTATAAATATTTCACTAAGAGTTGCGTTGTTTATGATTACTTGGTCCCGCAAGACATCCCAAAATGCTTTGCGGCTAAAATTACATATATTTATCGGGAGTTGGCAGGCATAGGTTTTGATTATTATAAAGTCGTTTTTATTAATTTATACATTTTTTTTAACACCTTCACCACAAACACTATTCCTACTCTAATATACCAAATAAGTATTTCTACCAAGTTCTTAATTTTGGACGTTTGTTTACCGCTTAGAAACAAAAGCCCCTAAAGATAAACTTTACTTATCTTTTAATAAATGTTTTTTTTTTTTTTCACATTGTGCATTTGAAACAGGGCAACTTAAAACTGCATTGGTTTTCAATGACCATGAAAATGCTTGCAAAATTATGCACAACACTGTCACTTTTATATTCAGTGAAAATTTTGTTAGAGTTATAAAATTTTAGAAACTGAATTGTGCTTGTGTTCTTTTAGGTAAAATACTTTCCAAAGCGTTCTGATTTCTAATTTGCTGAAGTTTTTGAGTTTATATATATTTAGAAAAATAAAATCCCCTCGCTTACATTTGAAATAAGATGGACTGAGGATGCGGTTTTGTGCAAAGTTTGTGATATCATTAAAAAACGTTTCCTATTTTTAAATTACTAATAAGTGTAACCGAAGATGTTCTTTAGACTATAACATTCCATTTACAAAATGCTTCAAACGCTTATTCTAAAATAAACCATATAAACGTACCAAACGCACATCCCTGTTTATTTGACACAAAAATCCTGAAATATTATTCGAACCTCTTGCAGGTTATTAAAGTTTGTTTCCAAATTTTTTTTTATTCTAAATTTTTAGTTTTTTTAGTAAAGAGGACATTAAAATAACAAAATAAAATTTTTATAAGGTCCAAGGCAAGTGAAAAATGTTGAAGGTTTTTTTGGACGGGGAGCGGACTATATGGGGAGGGGGTGTCAAAGTTCTAAAATTTTGGCGTATGTATTTTATGGACGAACCTTAATCTTAATGAACAAAATATTAACTTGGTTGAAAACAAGTATTCTTTAATAGTTACCCTCAAAAGTGCTTTCATGGAGTTGCGGAGCTTTAAAAACTTATTAGGTGCACATGCTAAACCATTGCAAAATAAATAAAAACGAATTGCTGTTAAGTAATAAATAATAAACGCATTTTTGTATTATCTTTTTATTACGGTACATTTTATTATAATTTATATAATAAAAATATTATATATTATATATATATATATATATATATATATATATATATATATATATATATATATATATATATATATATATATATTAAAATTTTAAAACTGCGCAATAAATGCATTTTATGACATTTTATCTTTTCTTTTATTAAATGTTACTAAAGAGTTTTACAATGTTTTGACAATTTAAATAACAATTAATTTTTTTTTTTTTTTATAGAAATGCTAAAACCTGGTGACAATTATACACGTCAAGTGGAATTTTACATTGATGCAAAGTTCAATAGTGGAAATTATCAAATTTTGATTTCAGTTGATTATTTAAAAAATGTCTTTAGCATATTTACTAGCGTCAACACAATTGAGTTGCCATTAACAGTAAAATTAATCAAGTCAAAATGGTCATTAAACAATTTTGATACCAACATTTTTGTGCTTAGCAGAGACCGAGAGGCTGTTAATGTCTTGGAAGTTAAGTATACAACAAAAATCGAATATCCATTTAAAACTGCAAGTGAACTTGTATGGACCGATGAATACTATTTAACCGATCAGGGAAATTTTTATGAAAACTTTGCTTTTAAAGTAGGAGAGTCGAACCAAAGGTTGTCTACTACCACTGCAAAAATTTATCAAATCAGTGTCAAAAAAACGTTTTATTTAGAAAATCTGGTGTATGGGAAATACTATTTATATATTTTTATAGACAAAAATCAACTAGTTGATAAAGTTATTGAGTTTAACTACCCGATTGAAAAATTTATTCAAATTTATAAAATTTTACCTTTGCTGAAAATCTCTAACTTTAGATTACTAAAAGATCTGCAATCATTTTCTTACGGATATAGTATAACTGTTGCGTGGAAATTTGAAAATATTGGAAAAGTTAGAGTGGAGAATCCTCAATTTAAATTTTATGTGGTTTTAAGTGACTCGTCATTTCATTTAGGCGCCTATCAATCACAGAATACACTTTATCCAAAAGATTTCAAAGAGGAGTCAACTCAACTAACTTTAAGTCTTCAGCTGTACGGAACGTTTAGAATTATCATAAGCTCTGGATACAACACTATGGAGGAATCAATTAGCGTGACTATTCAACAACCTCCTTCAGCTGACTTATCAGTTATAGATCTTATTTATGGAGTTAGCTTAGGCATAAAAGAAAATAATGAATGTAACACAAACAGAGTTACAGTTAATGTAACCTACACTGTTGAAAATATTGCTTATAGCATGGACAAGCTGAAAACATGGACTGACAAAATTTCTGTTGTTTGTGATAATGATTTGACTGTTGTAAGCAAGAGTCTTAGGATAACAAAGCAACTGTGGTCATCAGATACCTATACAAATTCTTATCAATTTTTATTTTCACTTCAATATGACTATTATAAAAAGTGCAAGGTTACTGTATATGCAAACGCCGATAAAGGAGCTTTTGAGCTATTTAGTTTGGTCAATAATTTAAAAGAACAGTGTTGTTTTTCCGTGCCTAGAAAACCAGACGCAATATTTACTCTAAAACTATTTAATTATTCAAACGAGCAAAAATTTTGGAAAGCTGGCGATGCAATTGACATAGTATATACGATCAAAAATGAAGGCAACAGCTCAAAATATTCTTCAAACACCTGGAAAGACAGCGTATATCTTCATAGACAACAAGCTGATAGCCAAAATAATATTTTAAACAATGGCATTTTTGTCGGTGAAAAGGCCTTTTATGACTTTGAGCTTGCCTGTAATGAATCAAGTTTAAGTAACTACACAATTAAAGTACAACTACCAATATCAACTTCAGGTAAATACTTTATGTACCTTGTTCACGATTCGCAGGGAATTAACGCTGACCCATTTAGACTCTTTAGTTCTAATTTTGATGTCAATATCATACCAATTGAACCATGTGATGTTGCATCCACAAATGGAACCATTGCGTCCGCTGGAAACGTCTTTACTGGTGGCAATAAAATCAATTTTTTTTTTGAAATTTACAACCTTGGTAAAGGTAGGGCGCGAGGTGGCTGGTATGATGCAGTTTATTTGTCAAAATTTCCCATTGTCACATCAAAAGATATACGTCTTATCACAATACCCCGTCAGCGTGAACTCTATACAAACGAGTTTTACAAAGTTGTATTTGAATTAAAATTACCTCTTAAACTCAGTTCTGGTCAGTATTTTTTGGTGTTTGTAGCAGACACTGCAAATGTTTTGCCTGACTTGAATCGAGATAATAATCAAGCTTCTATAATGATCCAAATTGAGGCAATCACAGGCGCTGATATATTTGTCTCTAATGTAACTGTAAACAGCAATGTCAATAAAAGTTTACAGTTTTCATGGCAACTAAATGCTGATCAAGAATTAAAAGCAGAAAAGTGTGATTCAATGTATTTGTCTTTTGATAAATTTTTTAGTTACATCAGCGACTTTGAGCTTGACACTGGTTACTGTGAAGCATTTGAAATCAAAGTTGTAAAAGACAATCGGTTAAGTAACATCAACTATATAAAAGATATACCAAAGGTACCCTTGTTACCTGATGGTTCCTATTATGGTATCGTTCGCACAATTACAAATGTTCAAGAAACAAATTTAGAAAACAATGCTGGTGTTAGCAACCAGAGTATAACCATTGAAGTGCAGGATTTGCATATAAACTTAATGCAAGAAATTCTAATTATGCCAAATCAAAACAATCTATTTAAATTTAAACCTGATTTAAATATGAACGCCCTCAAAGTTGAGTTAAAGACAAACTTTCAACAATCCTACAACGATATATTTATTCAATTGAATAGAATACCCACTGAGAATTCATTTGTCTCAAAATCAAGATTTGCTTATTCTTTCAATCAGACTTCTATCATCAGAAATGCAAAGTCGGATAAGTATTACATGATTGTCAAGTCGTATTTAGCATCAACTGATCAGCCTTACAAAGCAAGCTTACTCATCAAAGATGTCCAAGAAATTGACATTGACCTATTTGAGCCAACAAAATTAAGTGTTAATGGTAAAAATACTATTAAAATCACTGGTAATTTTGCTCCTCAAAAGTTAGAGGTATACTCTAGGAGATTTTTTTATTTAACATTTTTCAAATTTAATTATAACTCTTCTGAATGAAATAATATAGTGCTCAAGGTAGGGAAATAAATATATGGTAATATATTGTATTTAATAATTTTAAAATACCATCCTGCCTAATCATTTTATTTAAAGACAAATGAAAAGATGACGGAAAAGTTTATTACAATGACAAAAACGTATAACTTTGAAAAAATTGTATCTTTATAAATGGCTTATTTTTTAGATTTGCTTGACAAAAAAAGATGACATAAATTTTTTAACTTGTGCCGTAAAAGTTTACAAAGTAAGCATCGAAATAGTGTTTGCAACGTTTGACTTATCAAACTCAAATCTTCAACCAGAAAATACATACAAACTTACAGTTAATAACAAGTCAGCTAATCAAGTAATTGAAGCTATTAAAGGAGTAGTTGGTAACATGCAGCTAAATCTAGAGATTTCACGTCAAATTTACAGACCAAACGAAACCGCCTATGTTGATCTGATTGTAAATAATAATGGTGACACAGACATATACGTGCCAGTCATATTTGTTAGCACTATTGATCTTGAGAATACATATTCAACGCCTGGTGCTAAGAAGCAACAAAGTAACAAAAAACATCAAAGATATAAAATAGCAACAAAAATTAAACCTGACTACGCCATAGTGTCCATTAACAACAAGCCATACCCACCCTACTTTTACGACTATCTAATTGCACTGAATACAAACAACCTTGGTGGTGTGATACAACCACGATCATCAGCAATGCTGCGTTTGAAAGTAAGACCAACTTCTTCAGAATTTGTTGGTATATCAATGATAACTGCAGTTCCTTATGAAGACAGCTTTTTTCCTGAATATATCCGTGCTAATATTGCTTCATACAAGCCAAGATTTTACACCGACAAAGTTTGGAAGCATTTGTCAAAACTATTAATTAGCAAAGTAAGTCAAAATAGTAAAGAAATATTATACGAAACTGTTAACGAACTAGCATCTAATGGAGTGGAGTTCTACCGATTAAGTGACCTGGTAGTCTATCACATAAGCCGGCTTGATGGAGCGTTTTTCAGTAACAATCTAATTGATTCAGTGGACTTTGACATTATTGAAAATGAGGTGGCTTACGTTCGCTCTTATTCAGCTAAGTTTTCAGTTAGAAACACAAGAAACATACCACTTGGTATGGGGTGGACGGATAATCTTCATATTAAACTCGAAAAAAATAGCGATTATGACTCACTTCTTCTTACATCAGGTGGCAAACAATATAGTATTGACTTTCGAACATCAAACACATCATATTTCTCCGACGTTTGGCAAATTGATATAAGTGGTAACACAGCTATTATAACACTCAAAGAAAAAAATTTAGTCTACAAGTACGATTTCATTGAAAACTGCATACGCTCAATAGCCACTGTTACTGGCAATAAGTTTATGACAGTTAACTGTCATAACAGCAAGATATATGAAATTTTTAATACAGAATTGTCAATTAAGTTTACTTACACAACCAATAATCTTCTCCAAACTATTACGAAGGCATCGTCAATTTCTCCAAAAGAAACATTTGCATTTATTTACGATTCCTCTGATTGTTTGATTGAATTTACGACTCCTTCAGTTACAATAAAGTATGAATACGACAGCCAAAACAATCTTGTGAAAGCTACAACGAGTGCTAATTTAATTTTCAAGTATGAATTCAACAAAGATAATTTAGTAAGTCGTATAACAAACTACATGAATAACCAAACAATACTGGACTATAACTACATGTATTACGACTACGGACCAATTGAAATGCTTGATCAGATTGACGGCTGGAAAGTAAAATTTTTTTACGATTTAAATGGTCGCTTGTTATATTACGAAAAAAACAACCATCGTCGAGTTAACTTTATTTCATCGATGGACTTAAGGAAATCAACAATTCTTGTAAACGGTGAAATTGTCAAAAAGATTGAAATCGATGACAAGCTTAATAGTGTCAATCAGATTTTCGGTGATGAAAGTTCAAGCTCGAATAGAATCGTGTTCAAAAATGAAACTTATGAGGTTATTGAGTACGGCGACAGGTTGAATAACAAGGTCAAGTTGATAAGGCAGTTGGTCAATAATAATTTTCAAATCGAAGAGCTTTTATTGCCAAACAATCTTAAAGAAAGAAAAATCTTTGATTTGAAAAAGAATGTGCTGCAAATCTTTACGCGAAATAATGATGAATTAATTCTCAAATACGACGAGAATTTGAACAGAGTGTTTTATAGTCATGCAACTGGCGACGTTTTGAACTCGTGTTCGTTTGAGTACACACAACAGGGTTATTTAAGCGCAGCACGTGCCCAAGATGACTATTACTCTGTCTACAATAGTTATGACGCGTTTGGCAGGCTAACAAAAACCCAATTAAAATCTGATTTTATAATTGAATACAGTTACAACAGCCAATCAAATCTTGTTGAAATGAAAACAAATCAGAATATGAATTTTAAGTACATTCGAGATCAAAATGAAAGAGTAACTCAATTACAAGTGAATGGTGATACACTAGTACTAATGAACTACACTCGAAACGGCTTTAGGCTATCACTAACTAAAGTTTCGAGATATTTTGATTATTTATATTCTGGTAAAAACGGCCAGCTTATAAGATATGTGGTTGGTGACATGGAAGATGAAAAGAATTCAGTTAGATATGAGTATGAATACAATAACAAGAATTTAATGAAAACTTTAAAACTGTTTACAGGTGATAATAAAGACAATTATGTCAGTAAGTACGCCTATGACTCTTTAGATCGCTTAGTTAGTGTTAAAAATGAAAGACTAAATGCAACAGTTAATGTTTTGTACGATTCAAATGGAAATCGAATAAGATACCATGAAAGTATTGGATTTGGTAATCAACAGACTAAAGATAACGAGTATGTTATTAACCAAATGAACCAATACTTAAGCGACGGTATAAACTTTTACACTTACGACCTTAACGGTAACGTGATACAAGAGAGCGACAAAAGCCAAACTACAATTAAAACCTACAATTACTTCAAGGATGGTAAACTATCACAGTTTATTAACAAAGACGACAATTGCAGCTTGAAATACGATTGTTTGGAGCGGCTCAGCCAACTTAACTGTACCAAGACTGGCTTGTTTATATTTAGCTATCAATACTATAATCAAAATCCATTATCTTTAAGACTATCAAACAAAACAGTTATTTATTTTCTCTACTTACCCGGCATAAATAGTGCAATTGGTTTCATAATGAACAACAAGGTTCATTATTTTGAGTATAACGGTCATTTTATTGTTCAAAAATTGCTTGTTAACGGAACAGTAATAATGCCCCCAGAAGCCATACCAAACCTAAATCCGTTCATATTGCCTACCATGACTATAATTACTGGTTTACCAATCAATCTAAATACGCTTCAGCCATCAATAGATTTGAATACAATTTTAAGCTCAAATAACAAGCCTCTGTTAACAACCCACAATGCAGTTTTTGGACAGTCGGTATTTAACATTGATTCCATTCTTAATCAAAATTTATTATTTACAGAAGCTACAACTAAACTATTAAGTAATTCGAATCCATTTTTTAATAATCTAGAAAGTTTGAACAGCATTAAGCCACCTTCATTAAATCCAAGTTTTTTTCAAAACTTTCTTCCATCAAAGCCTACAAATCCATTAAAGCTTTTCAACTACCCAACCTCTCAGATAATTTTTCAGCCTTTCAAATCAAGCTTCTGTGATAAATATAATTCTTTTATGGGCTATGGAAAAAGATCATTAAACAAAAAAAAAAAGCAATTTATAAGTACAATTTACGGTTTTCTGGCCGACGAAGCATGTGAGGCAGCTGGAATATTTATAAAAGAGTTTTTTTTTAAAAAAAATACTTTCAAAGATTCAATAGTAGAAGTAATCAAAAACAACAAGTTTAATATTTTTGTTGACATTTCTTGTAATGGTATTACGTGGCCTTCATTAGACAAGTTATTAATTGCAAGTGCAGATAAGTTATCTGGCAAATATATTGAGTCGAAGATTGATAAAATTCCGATTATACCAGAATGCGTTAAAATATTGATTAATAGTGTCTTACCAACTCTATCAGAATTTATAAAATGGCTTTTTTCATTAGACCCCAATGAGATTATTGGTCCACCAGGCTACGGCGCGTTTAATTACGTCTCAAATGATCAAACGTTTACGTTTGTTGTTAACTTTGAGAATATGGCTAATGCAAGTGCGCCAGCACAACTAGTCGAAGTGACTTCCTTACTGGATGAACACTTCAATTATGCAAGTTTATCATTTACAAGATACGGATTTAATAGTTTTGAAAAGACCTTGGATTATTTAAAACGACCTTATTTGACAGAGATTTTGGAACTTGAGCGGTTCAACTTGAGGGTTTTTGCAACAATTGATTCGTTTAGTCGTAAAATCATTTGGCAGTTTAAGACAATTGATAAAGCCACTGGGGATATACCAGACGATGCAAGTTTTGGTTTTTTACCTCCAAGTAATGGAACACACGGTAAAGGATTTATTGAGTTTACCGTACTACTTAGACCTAATCTTCACCATTTGACTACTGTTAAAGCAAGCGCAAGCATTGTGTTTGACAAAAATGATGCAATTGAAACAAATATTCTTGTGTATACTATTGATGCAATGTTACCTGAGATTTCCCTGTCATATAAACCTCATTGCAACTGTATTTTGCTTAATGCAACAGATAAAGGTTCAGGTATAAACAGAATAGTGATTTATAATGGTACAGAAAAAATAATTTTTTCAACTGAGGAGACAACATCAAGTTTTGAGCTCTCACCTAACGATCAATCTTACACTATTTATTATGCTGTACAAGACAATGTTATGAACAATATTCCATTGACATTTTTTGAATCAATTAATATTACGTTACATGAAGGTTCAAATGAAAGGTGTTCCACTAATTGCTCTAATAATGGTGTTTGTGTTAAATCGTTTTGTCAGTGTTCTGAAGGATTCAAAGGTGATAATTGCGATGTAAAAATTACTATTAATGATTTACTTAATGAGCCACCAAGTGTTGATATTGGGTATTTACCAATGAATATAAGAGGTTTATTACAACTAATGATTAAAGCAAATGAGCCAAACCCGACATCAATGCAGATTAAAAACATACCCGAAAACGTATTGATAAAATACAAAAACCAAACTGTTACTTCGGTCAATTTAATTACCCTAAATAATCAAAATACAACAAGTTTAACAGTCCAATCACAGCTTGTAAATGAAACTTCATTTAATATTGAAGCTAATATAACAACAACTAGATTTAATAACTTAACAAACCACACGGTAACCGTCTCAACAGTGCTTTACTACCCAATCATCATAAACATGTTTGAAATTGAGTATAAATTTCAATTGAAAGTAAATTGCTATAATAAAAAGTGGAAAAATAACTCTGTTGAGCTCTTCAGTGAACAAGTTGGTGATATGGATGTGGTGTCTTTAGAATCTTTTAAAAAACCAAGCTTTATGGAATTAAATTTAGTAAAGCTTTCTGTTAAATCTTATCGATTAGATGTAAACTGGAAAGATGAAAATTTTGATGATGTTGAAATTACTTTAAACATTCAAGTGAATAGTACAATCACTGAAGGTAAACACAAAACAAGCATTGTGGAAAGCACTATTGAAAGCTATAAAATGTGCAAGGATTCAATTTCACCGGTTGTTCCTCCAGAAAAAAAAAGAGGATTAACCAAGAGTACGATAGTTGTAATTGGAGTAATACCTTTAGTTTTAATTATTGTAGTTATTGCCATTGTAAGTATAGTGAAGAATCGCAAAATTAAAGAATCTAAAAAGCAAAAATGTAAACCTAACTGTCCAAAACCCCGGGCGTACGAAAACATACTTTTTAAAGAATTCAATAATTGACTAAATTTTACCAGTTAGTTAACTTTAGATTTTATACTTTTTATTAGTATTTTATTTTTTGGGATTTCATTTTATTTTTCTTTGTTTTTGTATTTTTTGTATTTTTTTAATACCTTTTGTAAACCGTTTATATTCGTCTATCAGTGTATCAGTCAAATATAAATATATGTAGCGTTACATTTTATTTAAGCTTGGGTACTTTTTGAAAAAAAAAATTTTTTTAAATGCCGCAATTTAACCTTTACACTTTCTGTGACACGCACAGTACACCCCAACTAATCATACCGTTTCTTTGTAACCTATTTTGTGAGTCAACATAACATACGCGTTTTTTATACGGATTTATTACGTTTATAATGTATAACCATATCTATGATGAACATTTATGTTTATCATAGATATGCGTAGTAAAATAAGTAATATGACAAAATATTTTTTAACCCTGACTGATAAACAAGATAATCTTAAAAAAAGTTGTATCTAACATTTCTTAGTTCAAAACATATATAGTTTTTTTAAAAAACGGTTGCTTGTAAATATTACAAAAATGTAACGGGTGATAATGGTATGGATCTTAGTTATAGAGTTATCAGTTGATAGATGGAGTTATCAGTTGATGACAGTGATAATAATAAGCTATTAGTTTAAGAATTTAACATATTGTCGTAGATACTCATTTAGCAATACATGATAACTTTCAGAACACAAACTTTTCTTGTTTATTAAATTTTTTTTCAAGTAAAACTTCTAAAGTGTATATTGATGAGGGAAAAACTAAAACTAATGAAGAAGAAACGGAAGAGAGTAGTAGCGAGAAACAGAGTACAAGACCTTGTTTTCTGATCAATTAGTTATTCCTACTAGAGGGCATGGCGTAGCAGAAAGAAGAAAAATGTAAGTACGCAGCGGTTATTGAGAAAACAAAGCTAATAATAAAAATTAAACTATTAGAGTTTAAAAAAAAGTTGAGATAGAATAGCACTAGCGCTGGTACAGAAAGTTGTTGAAGAGAATGGTCCAATGGTTGCATTGCAGAACGTAATGCCTAACCAGATCTATATTAACAGGGAATTAAGCAATTATTAACTTGGAAGTATGTTAAAAATGATTATTTTTCTTATTCAAAAGTACTATTTTTTGAAGTATATTTAATTAGATTACGATAATCTTTGAAGTATATTACTTAGATTATGAGGTATATTTATAATCTTTAAAGTATATTTACTTAGATTATGATAATCTTTGAAGTATATTTGGGTTTGAAAATGTTTTTTTCATTTTTTGATTTGCTATACCACAAAAAAAACTTGCCTCTAGGGTATCTAAAGCTAATGCAAAAAAATAGCACGAATATTTTACGTCTGGAGCTATAGCATCATACTTTTTTTTTTTTATTCAACAATATTAATAAAAATTTACAAATGCTCATCGTAAATTAATAAAATTCGGTTAGGTGTCACACATATAGTTACAAACTAGTCAATTGAGTGGCACCGAAAAAACATAAAAAATATAGATAAAAAAGAAAAAAAATAAAGATGGTTAAACAAATAATAATGATATATGTAATAATTATTGTAATAATACAAATTAATAACAATAATAATAAGTATAAATAATATTAGGAATAATAATAATACAATGTAAATTGTATGTACATATCATGGATAATAATTAAACATACTAACAACATAAAATGTAGCAATAATAACACAATAATAAATAAATATAATATAGATAAATAATAAATATAGCAAAAATCATCACTTGTTCGTTAAAGAAATTACAAATCAAAGACAACTTCAGTACAGAGAGAAATTTTAAAGAAATACACTTCATCAATATATTTTTTAATTGAATTCCATTGTAAATAATCCGTAAAAGAGTAATATTATTTTTAGACTTTTTATTAATCCAGGAATACACTGGTTCTATTGGTAATTATAATGTTGTTTAATTGAAAATTTACCATATGTAATTGTATTGAATAAAGAAGAGTTTAGCATACTATTTTCTGTGCGGACTCCTAGCGGACTACCTCATATCATCGCACGCACAATCGGATGGCATTTTAATTTAGAAAATAAGATGGAATTTAACGCTTTTTTAACTTCATTTATGAGGTCCTCATATGGGCTAGCCCTTGAATACTAAATTTTAACATTTTTAATACATATATGGGACCAAAATGTTCCTAGTGTGATTATAGTGAATTTTATTTGTTTTAATAAAAAGATTTAAAAAAGATTTAAAAAATTTTAAAACTTTAAAAGATCATCCCAGTAAACATATCCTACTAGGGCCCATATGGGTTTGCCCAAGTGGGCCGTTTGTGAGCTTTATGTATAGACTCATTTTATGCCCCATATGGGCTAGCCCTTGAATACAAAATTTTGTATTCAAGGACTAGTCCACATGGGCCCATTTTGGTCCCATATATGTATTAAAAAAGTTAAAATTTAGTATTCAAGGGCTAGCCCATATGAGGACCTCATAAATGAAGTTAAAAAAGCGTTAAATTCCATCTTATTTTCTAAATTAAAATGCCATCCGATTGTGCGTGCGATGATATGAGGTAGTCCGCTAGGCTATTAGCTGAACCGAACTTACTGAAAACCCCTTTATCTTTCTCAAATGTAACTACGTCTCAAAGCTTTTCTCAAATTTTAAACTAATTTCAAACTAACTCTTTTTCGAAAAATCTTCTTTTTATTTCAAGTCAAATCATTTTAAAGACTCCGAAATAGTGCTATTAATGTCATGTGTTAGTGGTAGTAAAAGAGTTTTAAATTGTATTTGAAATTTTTTTTTTTTTTTTATGTATAAAAAGTTTTTGAAATTGTATAAACTACTTGAGTTTTTATAAACCCACAAGCAAAAATGTATATAAAATGACACGTTTTGAGGAGGTCTACTAATACTAAGTCATAACTAAACTTATTTAAAGAAAAAGTTTTTGAATTTATTTATTTAAATAATATTTCTTTTACTATTTTACTATTTAAATACTGTGGTATATTAATAAATGTTTAATTCTGTTTATCTTATTCTTTCTATGTTTGATTTCCTGTTTTACTTCTATAAAGCTAGACTCACTTACCATATTTATGACTACGTATTAAAGTATATGTCTCTAATTTAAAAATAAAAAAATAATTATTCAAAATATTATAAAAAACTTTTAAAATAAAAAAGTGGCATCCATGTGGGTCATATGCAGCCCATGTGGGCTGCCCACTTGGGTCCCAATTCACACCCAGCGACAATTTTCCTTGGGTAAGATGTGGGGAACCCATTTGGACTCTATAAAATTGCCCACTTGGGTCCCATGTGAGGCCAAATGTTACTTGCTAGCTGGGATAGAGTTTTAGGATTTAAAGAATAAAAAATCATTCAAAGAGATTGAATAGGAACATAGGAACAAATTAGAGAAAGCATACTGTTAGCTCGTGTAATTTTTTTTAAGATACTGTTGCCTATACCGAGATTTTCATCAAGAATTCCAAGACACTTTACACATTTTAACAGAAAAGGTTTTTTTCCGTTGATTTTAATTTTATTAATTTCAATAGTTTTTTGAGGGGAATGAAAAATAATTTATTCAGTTTTATTGACATTCAATGAAATAAGATTACTATTCAACCAGTTACATTAGCAATGAAAATCTTAATTAACTTTTTTACAAAGAGTTGTAAGTTGTTTATTTGGTATATAAAATATTGATATCATCAGCATAATGATGTACAATAGAATTTGTTAATGAACAAGATAAATCATTTTTATATAATAAAAACAATAACGGTCCAAGAACAGAATCTTGTAAAACGCCATATTTAATAACTTTATTTGTGAATTCAAATCCATTAATTGAAACAAACTGAGTGCGATCCCTAATATATGAAGAAAACCAAGGATTAGCAATTCTACGTATTCCGTAGTAGTTTTACTTTTTTAATTAGAATGTTGTTATCAACCGTATCAAAAGCTTTTTGAAGATCTATGAATAAACTACAAGCAAAGAAACCACTGTCAATTGCACCACGAATCCTTTCAGTAATGCTACTAAGAGCGAAACCCAAACTTTTGAATATAAAAACAAGCATAACTATTCAAAAATTTGTAAATACGAGAATACATTTAGTTTTTTCAGAAGTTTATTGACATTTAATAATAACGAAATTGATTCAAGTTTAGAGTCTTTAATATAAATTGGGATAACAGAAGCAGTTTTTAAGATATCAGATAATACACCGGTGATGAATGACAAATTATTTAGTTCAAAAAGTACAGGAGAGATATCATTTGTAAGAGCTTTAAAAAAAGGTATTGGAACGGTGTTAGGTCCAAGCTTTGCTGTCATTAATAGAATGAATAATAGATAACACTTCGTTTTTTTGCTGTAGGTTTTATGAATATTGATTTTAGATTAGGATTTTTAATTTATTTATTAAAGTCAGTATTGGATGAATGAATCTTCTTCTTTAGTTCTTCCTGAGCTGAAACAAAAAATGAATTTAAAGATTCCGAAATTTTAATGGGGCCATATACTAAAAAAACTGATATATCTTATAACAGCTTTAATCAGATATTTTAAAACAACTATAATAAAGCATTTCTAAAAATTATAAAATTTATTAAAAAAAAAACATTTCAAAACCCTTGGATAGCACCGGGTATCATAAAATCATCCAAAAAAAAAAACGCCTTCATGAAAAATTTATTAAAAAAATAACTTTTGAAAATGAGTCAAATTACAAAAATTACAAACAACTTTTTGAATCCATTATAAAGTATTCAAACAAAGTTCTACTATACTAACCTATTAATAAAATTTAAAAACAATTCTTAAAAAACATGGCGCATAATTAAAGGCGTCATAGGTAAAAAAAAATTTAAATTGTAATAGCTTTCCGAAAAAACTCATTATAAATGACTGTGAAATTATTAATGAATCTTTAATTGCTCAGTCGGTTAACCATGCATTTGTCAAATTTAGCATCAAAAATTAAAGTTAGTAAATCTGATTTTAACTCATATCTTATCGCTAATGGAAAACAATAAACTGCCTAAAAACTAATTTTCTAATGCTCTATCTTTTTTAAAACCTAACAAAGGTCGTGGCCTTGACGATGTTTGCAGTAATGTATTAATAAAATTAATCTTTCATTTAAAATCTCCGCTCATGCATA